AGCTAGATCAGAAGTCTTTCTTCATGCAATCCTTCTGGTAATATAACCGTAAATCTCAGCCCCTGATTGATGGAAGGCCAGAAGTCTCATCTTCCTGTAGCCTAACTTGATTTCAAACTTGTTCCGGATAATTGGATATGACTTTCATAGGATAACTGATCAAACCTAATCAGAAGGTAATTTCTGATTTTGATCCTTAAGTGGTATTGAACTACAAACCTTGTAATTGCAACCTGGGAGCACTACTACTGTGCTATTGATTCACAGGTCTAGTATAATTTATTATTTAAAAATTCATAATTTAAAAGGTATTTAAATATTATAATAAGGAAATTAAATAATAGGACTATACAATAAAATAAATAACTCAAAACTAATAGAAATCACAATGATTATCAAATCTTAACAAACACAAATTGAAAATTGGGAATTACATAATCTATTAATATGTAAATTATTAAACTATCTATTAGATAAAAATAACTTTATGCTCTAAGTAATTAAGTTAACAAAAGATATAGAAATAATTTTTCAAAGTTAAAAATAATAAAAAATCTTTGAATGAAGCAAGAGAAATAGTTTTATTAAGAAATACCTTATATTAAAAAAATATAGAAAGGTTATATCAAAAACTCTTTTCGCTGATCCTCTGACCACACACAAAAAAGATGTTTGCAAGAAGTTTTCATACTTCTATGCTAATAAAGTCTTATCACTTTCTTTAAACCAACCTGAAGAGAACCTTCAGGAGTCACCCATATCCTCACTCTCTTGTTTACAATCATCTTCAGGCAAACTGAACTCTTGTGATCTATAAAGTTCATCTTACATCTTTACTACTAATGGCAGGAAAGCTCCTAAAGGAAGAAGAACCACTGTACAATACCTGTCACTATTCTTCTGAAGTGAAGAAACAAGACAAGATAGAGATGTCCATCTAGACAATGACTCATTTTTCTCCTTGACCTGGCATTGTGGCCTCTAAGAGCTCCTATTTCACAGCTTTCTGGGGAATTTTGCCTATCCCAGCTTGACCCTGAATTTTAGGGTAGCACAAACCTCGCCAATTTTGATTGGTTGACATGAAACACGTTGAACAAGATTAATAAACAAGCTCCTATTGGTCACTTCACGTGTCTGAATGCATTTCTTCAGTTTTATAAGAATCTGGGGTTTACTGTGAGTCATATGTGTTGGTGCGGGTGAATACAGGACACAAACCACTACATCATTGAATACAAGAAAGAGTATCCTCTCCCATAGACTGATCACTCAGCCAGGGCATAAAGAAGGATCAGCTCATCCACACTTGCCAACAAAGACAGATCTCAGCCTAGTGCACTGCTGAAAACACAAGACAGAATACATTAAGGCAAGAACTAAACAGTACAATGTCCTTCTCTCAAGACCGAACCCCAATTATATCACAAGACAGATCAAGTTACAAAACAGAGAACCACTTCGTCCTTCAAAATTTTTCAAGCATTAACAAGATCTTCTTGTATAAAGAACTTCTAACACCGGTGGTGTTGAATATCTTAGGTGGGTTCTTGACACATTAGCTCCCTAATAAGCGTAGTAACAGGTCATCTGATAGGCAAAACCCTAGAAAGCAGAAGTTCTAGAGGTAGGTTTAGTGGCTGGTTTTACTCCAATGGAGAAGATTTCCTATTTCCTATAGTGGAGTTGGAGTTTAAAGAAAGTCCTACACTAGATGGTCAATAGTCATCCCATCCTGATTGGGTGAGATGTAAATAGATGCCCTTTATACTATTCATTGATCAGTAAATCCTTAAGCAGTAAGGATGATTAGTCATCCCGGTTGTCCCTAGGACATATCTTGATTCTAATAAAGCATACGAACTGACGCAGGAATGTACTAGTGATTAAAAAAAAAAAAAAAAGAAAGGTTATATTATTACAAATTAATATACTATATATAAATCAGATTCTTAATCAGAAAACTAATAAAATAAGATATTAACAAATATTTTAATTTTTATAAAATATAAATAAAAAACTTATTTTAAAATAGTTTCAGATTATAATTAATAATCTTTTAGAAAAACAGGTATAATGATTTATAAGAATTTGAAAAAAAAATTATACAAAGTAAGAATTATGCTATTCTATAATAAAGTTTAATTATAATAAATAACATAAATTGTAAATAATAATCAGATAGTTTAAGGAAAGTTGAAATAAAAAAAAAAAACGAACACAAAATAATAATAAAATATTTTATTTGTTATAGCATCAATAATAATTAAAAGACAAGTTTATAAAAATACTTTGAATACTTAAAAGTATAAAATAAAACAATAGTTACTTTATTAAAAGAGAAATACTGTAAAAAATATATATATAATATTATATCACAAGAAAATTCACAAAAAGAGTACAAAAATTAAAAATTCCAAACCTTAAGACAGTACTTAAAAAATGATCAAAATAATAATTTTTTATAATAACTAGAGTTTATACAAGATTTTTTTTTTAAATAATAAAATATATAGATATTGAAACTTAAGAAGAAATTATTATTAGAGAAAATATTAAAAAAGGTGTATATCAAAATTAATTAATAAAAATTCTTAAACATAATCTTAAATTTAAAGAAAAGTTAACATTTTATTCTAATAAATAACTTGTTAATATAAAAAGAAGAAATAAAATGGAGGCTGCTCAAATTCAAATAGGAAAAGCAAGAAAAGAAGATAAGTTTAAAACAAGAGTAAATAATTGATCCTTATTTATAAGAGTTGAATTAATGGTAATCCTAATTGTACTTTTAGTAGTTTCTATCAATAGTATTATTAAAGTTTGCATAGATAGTTAGGCTTTTATTTCTAAATGAAAAATAATAGAAAAATAAGATTCAAAAAGAATATATAAAAAAAATTAAAAAAAAAAAAACTGATATTTTTGGGTATAAATAATAGTGTTAATAAAAAAAAATACAAATATGAAGTTTATCAAAATTAAGGTTTATATCAATTACCCTTATAATAAATAAGCTGATACTTTAGTTAAAGAAGTTCTAAAGCTCCTATAGATAAAATAAAAAAATTTTAACTTATATAAAATTATTATAAAAATTAAATAACAAGATAAGGTTTTGGATAATTCAATCAAATAATTCATATAAATATGAATAATAAAATAATAGTTTATTAGTAGATATAGTAAAATAGAATTAAAAAAAATGGAGTCATTAGATTTTAGAGCAACAAGTCTATATATAGGATCTAGCATAGAAAAAAATAAAAGATATATATATATTATTTCATTTTGTTAATGACATACAATACATTTTACTTGTTTATAAAGATTAGATCTTTTTATTAAATATTAATAGCTCATTATTGATCAGTTTAATGAAAAAATTTCTTTATTAAAACCTTTTGAAAAATATGTTTCATAGAATACTTGCTAGAATGTTTAACTTATAATAATCAATTATAAGCAATATGGAGTAAAAAAATAGATGGAATATTTAAGAACTTTAAAGAGTTTTTACAAAAAAAAAGAAAGAAAAAAAAAGGTTAAAGAGGAAAGTGTTAGACTGATTATAAATTATTGCAAAGAATTAGAAGAACTTAATAAGTGAATCTCTAGATTAGTAAAACAGATTTCTAAAACTAGTCTGAATATCTTAAGTTTTTGTGCTGATTTTATAAGAAGAAATTATTTAATTTAGAAAATGATAAATCTAAAATATTATGAAAAATATATAAGGAAAATAGCAAGAAGATAGATAATAAAAATACAAAAAAGAATTTATAATTAAGTTTGTAAAAAATTCAAAACAAGAGATGTAAAAAGATAATTCAATATGAATAATTACAAGAGATTTATAAAAGGAATAAGACAAAAAAATATTTATATTTTCTAAATCAGAAAACTAAATTACTATCAAGAAGGAAACTATTACTAAAAAAAAGAAAACTAAAAAATAAAGATCTCAAAGAAATCTTAACTAAAAGAGTAGTATATAAAATAAAAGTAATTGGGTTTTAAGCTTTATCAAAATTTCTGAGGATGATCTGTAATAGTAATCTATAAACAATGAAATTAGTAGTTGAAAGGTTTTTACTTGAACCACTAATAAAGCAATAAATCACTCCTGAAGTTGTGCTTAAAATTTTGATAAATTTCAAAATTAGGATAAGTAAGTTAGATAAAGATTTAGCTTTAATGATGCATTTATAATGTAAAGTATACAAATCATTTAATAAAGCATACATACTTAGCCTGACAAAGGGTTTTAAAAAAATGATTTAATAAAAAATATAATTGTTAATTGTATATTAATAAAATCTCTGTATTTATGTTTTAATTTAATAGATTTTATTAATCTTTATATACAATGATAGTTGTTAAGTAAAAAATAATAAATAATTCTACAAAATTTTAAAACGTTTTAGATAATAAATGAATAATTTTTAAACATCTTAGTTAATGCTATTTTAAAATTTATTATACCTTTTATGAATTTATAGTATATGTGAATATCAACAACTGAACAATGCAACTATCAGTATTTCACTACACAAAGTATTTATTTTATTAAAATATGATATCAACTTGAATTTTTCAAAATTAAAATTTACTGGATGCCCGCGATCATTAAAATTGTAAGACATCTAACTCGTAAGTAGTATTCACGAATTCAAAATTCAGATCTTAAAACTGACAGACGAGTAAGGAACGTCACAAACCCATGACTCCCCTTTTTGATCTCCTCCGATACCTTTACCAATTATTATTCCATTTCCACTTATCGCTCCAAATAATTTTTTGGTTTCGGCATTTAATTTATCATTTTCAGTGAACACTGATTCCGTCCTGTTAAGATCTACTTCATCCTTATCGGATACTGTCAATATAAAACGCGTGTCTTCAAAAGATTAAAAATATAAATTCCCGTTATCTCCAAATAACATTATAGAAGTAAGTGTAATGCAATATTCCAATGACATTACATACCATCATCCAAACTATCTAAATTTTGTGTGAGCGGTATTCCCCCCGAACAATGTTTCCTATACATAAACTTAAAATCGAATACTGTAAGTAAATTCTGAGGCCGAAAGAAATATCAAGTAAAAAACATGTGCAAAAAGATTACCTTAACATATTGCCCATTTTTTAAATCTTTTGTTGTATCGATGGCCATATTACCTTTCGCGGGGTCACCGCTTAAAATTCTGTTAATCACCATTTCGGAATCCTGACAAAGAAACTCATAAGCCACAAAACAAATTTCCTAGATAAATCAATCGGAAACATTTACGTGAAGGGCATCTTCATGATTAACATCGTACAATCCCATATAAAACTCGGTTTCTTTTGATAATAGAAAATTATTCTCTTGATCAACACCGGATTTAAAATGCCGAAGTAATGATTCTGTTGGGTTTAACCCTTCAAGTTCTAATATTATATTTCCTTGACACCTTAGAGAGAATTTGAGCAAATTACTGTTGATTATAATAGTGCCGTAAAAATAATATACATCCTTTTAATATCAAAGTAGCCTAATACCTTGTTATTCTCAACGGATCGCTAATAGGGCGTAGTGATGGGTGGTCAATAAGTAAATTAGACATAGTTGAAGTCTCGGAAGTAACTGCCACGCCTGTTATTCCTCTAGACAGAACTTTATCATTGTGGAATAAGGTATAAGGCCGACCTGTTATAAATGGTGTGGATTCCCTAATTATCATTACCGAGAGGAATAATTAAATCGACTGTTTTTCGGATTTTAGATAGAATTAGAATTTCTGGTTTTGTACCCCACGATTCCTATCTAACTTTGATGAAACAACAACGTAATGTTAATTTTCCTAGCATAGAATTAAAATTAATACCGTAGCAGCAATTTTAGCAAACCTTCTTGCTCTTGGGAAAGTAATGATCTAAAGATTCTAAGAATTGATACGGTTCAGAATCTGAAATTATGAAAAATAGATCCGGACTTGTATGATTGAAACCGAAATGCAAGATATATGTTAAGGAAATAGTGATCTTGATTTATAACAATAATACACTAACTTCACCAATCTTACAGTACCTAATATTATTATCCCTTAAAACTTTTAACTCCTTGGGCAAGCTAAAAATTTTAGGTGCGCTGGAAACGCTTTGAAATTTACTTATTTCATACCATCCATTTGAAATTTCCAAAAATTGATTCTTTAACTCCTCGGGACTAGTCCATCTGCCAACAGATTTGGTCTTATATTCTTTCCTTGGTCCTTCAACATTGAATCCATCGTATCTAAATTTCACATTCTTTTCTCTAATACTTTCGTTCCCAATATTTACAGGCGTATTATGATTAAATCCGCCTAAAAATAAAGAAATTCCGTGACCAACGTTCAAACCATCATAAATTTTATCGACGACACAGCCAGACAAAAATTTTGGCCGTAATTTCGAATAAAGATAATCTGGTATCGACTCGATTTCTTTAGAAGTATAACTCCTTGATACAAATACCATACAGACTTCACATTGTTCGCGGAAGTTTATCAACGAATTAAGGGCATCAATTGCAGATGTGTGTGTAGACGTTAACGTGGCATTCCAACTAATTTTTTTATGATTGATCTTTAAGTCTCCTTGTGATTTATAAAATGATAAAAATCGTTTCTTGTACGCGATGTTTTGAAATAAAACCAATGATCTTTTAGGGATTAAACTAGAAGAGACCATCTCGATGAAAACCTCGATCTGATTATAATTTATCAAATTTATTCAACACGCACTGCCCTATCTTAAGTACGTCGTACGAAATTAAATAAGTTAAACCTATTTTTTTTTTTTAACCCACCATGTATTGAAAAAGTATCCATAATTCTTTTCTTTTTTCTCTAGCCTCTTCCCCTATACTGTTTAGAAGTTGGATGGGTTCAGCAGTACTCTCTCCCTATAGGCTGGCAAAGTTTGGTCCTTGCAAGGTATCATGCTTTGCGAAAATAGTTGCAAGTGTTTATTTCCTATTTTGATAAAGCAAAGTCTCGCTTTTTCCAATAACACAATTGGTCTGATATTTCCAAGCTCACAGTGCCATGGTTTAGGCTTGGATATTGGATATATGTTACTACTTTTCCATTTCTTGGATATTTAACCATTTTCAAGGATCATATTAAAAAGCTATACTAATATAGCTTTCCCTTTTGGACCTAATTTCTTTAGCATCTCATAACTGATCTGTGAGAAATCAGATGCCTTTTTGTTGGAAAGACTTTTTAGTGTTTCGTCAAGTTCTTTTATTAAATTTCTTCTTTTAGAGAAAAGTATCATTCTGGTTTGATCTATTCTTTGGGTTGATATTCTGCTTTCCAATCGAGATTTAGGTCTTTGAAGTTGAATTTTCTTTTCTTGAGAGCTTTTTAATAATAGGTCTTGACTTGCTGATTAAAGATTTGTGGATTTATAATTATATACAGTATGTTGAACCCTTGCAGTTTTATACTAGGTATCTGTCAATCACTATTTTAAATCATTTTCTATTTAGGATACAGTTTAGTATTCATTTTTTATTACTTTTGAGATCCTCATATCTGATTTCAAGGGTATTTTTAATTTGATTTTTGATATAAAGACTTTTCTTTTTTTTTTACAAATTGTATATAAGGTCAATTTTATTTTAACAATTTGTTTCAATTGTATTTTAACATAAGCAGAATTTAAAAAAGTGACAAGTCTTGGATAAATATATTATTACTTAGGATATGAAGCCTATTGATCACTATTGAAATTTCTTTTTTAATAGAAGATTCTCATATTACTTAAGCTTTTTTAAGTAGTATTATGGGTCACGTGGGTGACGTGATTTACACATAATGGTCTAGAATCCAAAAACCCAAAAGTCTAGCATGAAAGATTGAGTATCGCAAGGTAAGAAACTATAGATAAGGCTCGGGTACTGATAAGGGAACTGTGTATATTTAAAAAATATAAAAAGTTTAGCAAAGCTTAGGGTTAGTATAGCCAATTATAAAGTAGATAGCCATTGTTAGATAGAAAAGTATAAATAGCTTACAAATGTATACCAAAAAGGCAAAGTTAAATGTGTTAAGAAAAACAGCCCTCATTAAGAATAGAGATAAGAGTTAGTGATATATCAAAGAAACAAAATGCAATAAAGAGACACTTACCTTCAGCCAAGTCAATCACCATACTTCTGCCTTCCCTAAGTGTTCTTTATAGAAGGCATTATCTTCTTTATATCATTTGTGAGTATTCTTGAAAAGTTTGGATTACGCAAAGTATTACAGATTAGCGATCGACTCGCCAGGATAGCCCACAACAATAGATAGTAAATTCTATTAGCTTCTCTATATATATTAAAGTTATATTTGAGAATAGTGCTCTCAATTTTGAATTTTCTTTTGGAGTTAAAATATACTCTTTTTGTTTTTGAAATCTTAAAAGCTCCTCTAATAATAATAGATTCTAATAGATATCAGGTCTTATTCAGTATTTGTAATGCATTAAAGTTACTTAAGGGTTCTATATATACTTAATCTTTAAAATATAATAAAAAGACTATATATAAATATTGCAGAATAACATATATTTATAATAGAAGTAACACTTCTAATCTTATAAAATATCTCAAAAAAACCTATTTAACAAAATTGTATTTATTAATTAACAATATTAGAATTGTTAATTTTTTTAAAACAAAGTAATTTCAAAAAATTTTTAAAATCTAAAAAAAAAATTATTAATTATTTTAATTTATATATAATATATATATAACAAAAATAAAAAAAAATTTTTTTAAAAAAAAAACTCTTTTCCGTAACCCTCTTTTTTCTTAAAAATTTCCTTATAAGGAAATTTTCCCAAGGAAAAAAGTAAATAACAAGAGATAGTAGTTTTGAAGACCAAACACAATATGGTGAACTTCTCTGTAGAGATAAGCTTTCTCTATGGTATTACGTTCAAGTACTCTGAACCTACAGAACAGCTGGACCAAATAAAGGAGCTCTTTGCCAAATGAATAGGCAGGGCTTCTTCTATCTGCTTTAGTAACTCTAAATAACAAGTCTTCTCTCCTCCACTTGACCCGGGCTCCTCTAAAAAGAAGAGAAAATGTTATCTGAAAAAAGGAAGATGCCAAGGAGACAAGAAACAGGATAAACCAAAGAATAAAAACCTTTGCCTAAACAACCTCCACCCCCAAGGCGTGTAAATGTTCTGAGTGTGGTGAAGACTTTACTAGTCACACTTCATGAAAGAAACATTTCAATAGATATTACAAACCGGATACTATGGAAGTTGACAAACATGTCAAGTGAAGAAAAAAACGTAAGGCAGCCCATCAAGAAACTAAGGCCAGTACTGCTGGAGCACTGGCATGGAAGCCTCCCAGAAAAATTTTCAAGACCGATTGCGATGAGCTTGACGAACAGATAGTGCTTGAATTAGTAAAGCAAGCGGGGAATGAATCCAGTGAATATCAGATTCATCTATCTAGGGAAAGGGAGATTGGTATTCACAACTACACTCCCACTACCGGTGGTTTTGGACTAATCATTCAAGGTTTCAAGACTTATTTAAAGCCTACCTCCTCTGCACTTGAATGGCTATTCAAAGATGGGTTTGACGAAACAATCAATAACCTTGATTTCTATCAAAATACAAATCCTTGTTGATAGATGTACAATGCAAAGAAGTCGACTTTATCGATAGAACTTTTAGAGATGGTTGGAAGATAAGACTCCATTCCCATTATTCCTATGTTTAAGTTGATAATAGAGTAAACATTATACCGGTGGGATGTCAAGTAACATCGGGAATTTTGGTAACCCTTCTGTCGGAAAACCTTGATGGGAGAAGGAATTCGCGAACCACACCGAAGTGTTTAAAATCTATAACACAGATTAGAGTATGATAACAGTTTGATAACTAGATTACTTTTTAAAATTGTTCTAGAAAAAATTAAGAGAGTATCGAATATCTTTCTTACAGTGTAGGTTTACATTTATAGTTACATTATTTGTATCTGTTCTTACATTTATTATATATTATGAGTATTTGTAAAATTCCATCTTTATGAGTATAATAAAGTAAAGATAAAGATATTTAAAATCTTCTAGAGGAACAACTAAAGCAACTTATAAGATCTGGAAGAAAAAATTATATAAGATAGAAACCAAAATACTCAAAAATAAATCTTAATTAAGACAAGCAGAAAAAATTGTAGATAGTAATGGGAAATAAAAGAAATCAAGTAACTTGGGAAAATTAAGACAAGGAAAAAAGGGAATATCACAATAATAGAGCACTTTATCAGTTATAACTTCAACAATGATCAGGAGACTAATATATAAAAATGTCTGGGATGTTCAGAAGGCACAATACTAAATGGTGACTATATCCTTGAAAGAGAAATATGTGAAATATATATAGTACCATATCTCAATACAAGAAAGTTCACTAGAAGAACACAAGACTTAAAAATCCTCAATCCCAAGTTAGCACTTGAAAAAAGAATTAAAAAAGTGATTTACAGCAACCAAAGCCCTTTAAAGATCCAAAATAATAGAGTAAATCATATGAATATCGAAATATGGAAAGAAGCTATAATCAAAGAACATATCAGAGAAGGAGTATATCAAGATCACCTAATAGATATATTTCAACATAACCTTGAATTGAAAGAAAAACCAATCTTCTATTCTGATGGATCACTTACTAATTATAGAAAAGAAGATATTAAAATGGGAACAGCCTGGATCCAAATAGGAAAAAAAAGAAAGGAAAGCAAGTTCTAAACAGAAATAAACAATTGACTCTCATTTATAATATCAGAATTGGTAACAATTATAACAATACTTCTGGTAGTTCTAAAGCATGAGTGAGATCTTTACAGATAATCAAGCATGTATTTTCAAGTGAAAATCCTTAGAAAAGAAAGACTCGAAAAGGATATACAAGAGATAGCTTAAAAAAAAAAATTGGTCTTTATAGGTACTGTACGTATGGTAGAGCTAATAAAAAAGAAAAATATAGATCTAAAGCTCATAAAAATTAAGGCATACTCAAATAACCCTTATAATTAAAAAGCAGATACCTTAGTTAAGGAAGCCTGAAAATTTTCATCAAATGAATAAAAAGATCTCACTTTACATAAAATTATAACTGAAATCAAGTAGCAAAGGACAACTTTAGATAATTCAATTAGGCAGTTCTTAGGAATATTAATAATAAGACAATAGTCTATTAGTGGATACAACAAAACAGAACAGAGAAAAAATGTTTCATTAGATTTCAGAATATCAAGTTCATATATAGGACCTAGTATGGAAAAGGGTTAAGGATGGATACATATGAGATACATCTTTTAAACAATCCTAATAAAGAATCTTTTTTATTAAACTGGTCAATAATGAGCGATCTACCTTAAGTAAGTTGGCTATAAGAAGACTAGATCTATATAAGCAAGTGAAATGCATTGCATGTAGCCAACAATATGAAAACATAAA